GTTGGAGCCCCTCGCAAGGAATCCCTCGCAAGGGCCAAGCTCCCGGTCAGGTAACTCCGTGGATAGCCTCGGGCCTTCCCCACGCGCAAGTGGGTCTCCGATGTGCCTTCCGGCAAGCCTCTCCCGGATGCTCTCCGCCGTCTTCACTATCAAGCTTTCGGCCGAAACGCCGCGGGACTTGTTCCCTTCGGTACACGGTGGCGGCCGCACCACAAACGCGGTTGGTGCGATCTCGCAAGACTTCAAGCCCCTCCGATGTACAACTCTTGTGCTCGCAAGCACGGGGTGGCAGGAGGTATGCAAACCTCACTAAACACTAGGCATACACCTAGAGCAAGCGCATAAGCGGTGGTCTAATCAACCTAAGCACTTTGCAAAGCACCTACGCTAATCACCTGATGAAACACTAAGCACTATGCAAGTGGAGATCACTAGAATGGTGTATCTACACCTTTGGTATGTTTCCTCAGCTCCACTTTTCTCAAATGGCCGGTTGGGGGTTGTATTTATAAGCCCCACTGAGAAAGTAGCCGTTGGGGTCGAACTCCCGCGAAACTGCTACTGACCGGACGCTGAATCGTCCTGACCGGACGCGTCCGGTCGTCCCGACCGTTGTAGCCGCGAACTACCGATCGGACGCTGTCAGCGTCCGGTCGCCTGCCACCGGACGCGTCCGGTCGCAGTTTCGCGCGCCTGGAACCTCTCTGTACTCGATCGGACGCTGCGTTCCTGCGTCCGGTCGGTTGCCGCCAGCGTCTGGTCCTTGCGTCCGGTCGCCTGTCTGCCGAGCCACCGGTCCAGCGTCCGGTCGCGCTTCCAGCGTCCGGTCCAGCGTCCGGTCGCCTCTGCGAGCTCGTTTCTTTGCGATCTTGCGCACGGCTTGGTTCCTATCTTCATGCTTGGACTTTGCTTGACATCTTGGGTCTTTTCTTGTGCTTCTAAGGTCTTGCTTGAGGTGTTGATCATCAGATCATCATGTCGCCTTCGTCCAAGTCACGTCTTGCACCCTATTGGACTACAAAACAAACACTTGCAAATTCATTAGTCCAATTTGGTTGTGTTGGTCATCAAACACCAAAATCCAAAGTAAATGGGTCAAGGGTCCATTTTCCTTACACCCTTGTTGAAGGTGAGGCTCATGAGCAGATCTGTTTTGGATTGTGCTGCATGATTGTTGTTCAGTGCGATGACGATAAGTAAATGTGTGGCTCTTGGGCAGGGCAACTTATTTGTGTGTTCTGTAATATGTTATAATGCCACTCCACTACTATGTTTTGTATTATTAACCGAACTTAGTTGTATGATTTGAAACAAATGGTTTATAAACTATGTTATTGTAAGACTTCCGCTATGTTTTACTCTGGTGTAGATATTTGAATAAATGTTGTATTCTTCAATGACTCTGTAATGTGATCCTACTCGGAAATCGTGGATGATTCGGGGTTTCCCGAGGACACCCGACAGTCTTCTTAAGTTACCAGGAACATATGCATAGTTGTCAGAGGTCGTCGGACAGTGACAGATGCATGTGGGCCCTATAATTTAGGAGGTTCTGCCACAGCTTGGGAGCTCGTTCGTTCACAAGCTAGCTTGGAGAACAAGAAGAAGAAAAAAATCTTTGGCCGGCCGGCTTGCAAGTCGCTAACTTCCAAAGCTCAAGAGAAATCCGTAGATCGTGTCTGAAACTCTTGCAGTGTCTACCCTGGCAGCCATACTCTTTTTGTAATCTACCGGGTTTCTTTCCTCACGCTAGTTGAGGGTCATTTGCTCCTGCCATTTTTTTACGTCAAAAGGTAATAGGACATCTACACTCTACAGTGTAGTTTACATGTGACCATATTGAGAGGAAGAAATAAGGCGGAGGTAACTTTGTTGGAGGCATCGTGGCACGTGGCGACTGGCGTAACAACATTTTTGTAGGGCATATGTAAAGTACAATATTCGTCCAAGCACAAGTGCGACCTGCATAGTCTTCCTACTCATCCTAAGAAAAAATTCCTTACCTGCCATTGCATAAACTTAAATCCCTTATCTGCCACCTAAATATATATATATATATATATATATATATATATATATATATATATATATATATATATATATCATTGGTGTTAAATTGTAATCCCTTCCATGCTAAGGTAATTGCTTAAGTACGCAAATGAATAGCAAGATGTCATTATTCCCTCCTACGATTCATCTCCAAATCTGCAGAGATGGCCATCATTGAGTAACAGCTCGTTCACTTGGTCGTATTTGGCTTATAAGCCATGACTTATCAGCCAATGAACAGTCTTTTTCTCTCACACCAAATCAGCCAACGGTACTTTCAGCCATGGTTTATAAGTCAAACCAGCCCAAACAAATAGGCCGTAAATATATGGACGGCTCGGTGGGGAAGAAGATGGTAGAGATGGATCTCTGGTCGAGGAACCAGTAGTGAGGGTTGCTCAATGTGTGAGCGCTGTGGGCCGTGTGGTTGCTGGTTGTTAATGCGTTCGCTGGCTGCGCATGACGGATCTTCTCAAACCAGACTAGCATCTCCACCTTGCCCTTCTAGCATAATCACTGAGCCCCTAGTTGCGTGGGCCAACTATCCGGCATAGAGCAGTGTGCCTTCTACAGTTCTACTCATCGTCCATCTGTATAGAGATCGTCATATACCTCTAGAAAAGCGACCATACGCTTTGGAAGAAGCTTGTGCAATTTGGGAAGTTTTTTTTTAAAAAAAGAAGAAGAATCTATTTCAACTAATATGCTACTGTTTAATGCGCTGGTTGTCTGCGCTTGTGCTACTACTCACCCGTGAGTGTGGCCGCGGTTGTGGAGGGCAAGCTTACTGGACACTCCTCATAGGTACCTAGTTCCAAGGTTGCATACTAGTACAATACACAATGTGCTTACTCCTTGTTTAGTTGGACCCCAAAGTCCAAAAAGTTGCTACAGTACCTGTCACATCGAATATTTGCGGTCCGTGCATGGAGCATTAAATATAGACAAAAATAAAAACTAATTGCACAGTTTGGTGGGAAATTGCGAGACGAACGTTTTGAGCCTAATTAGTCCATGTTTGAACACTATTTACCAAATAAAAACGAACGTGCTACAGTAGTCCCAAAATCCAAATTCACCCAACTAAACAAGGGCTTAGTTGGTGGGCTTAAAAGGGAGCAACTAAATTTGTGTCCAACTGAGAGGATAGACAAATTGATTCTTTTGATATTTATTCCCTCCATCAAACAAAGAGTGTCGTTCTTACTTCCTAAAAAGTTAAACATGTCAACTTTGATTAAATATATATATATATATATATATATATATAAATACTAATATTTATAGTGTATTATCATTAGATGAATTGTTAAATATATTTTTATAATAAATTTATTTGGAGATACAAATATTGCTAATATTTTTTACAAATCTAATCAAATTTAATTGAGTTTGACCGGCATGAGTTCTATGATGATTTTTTTTACTAAGGGAGTATTAGCCGAGAATCGAAATAACGGCGTGAAAGAGATTAAAAATGTATGGACAGTAATATTTACAGGATTTGAGTTTTTTTTATAGCAGATAAGGGAAGGAAGTTTTAGCCAATGATATATATAGAAAAATTTCCCTTATCCTAATAATCATTGATCAAATGGGTCCCACCGTGCCTGGGTTGGTTGCACGATGATCGTACTGTTGGAATAAAAGCAAGTGTAGACTGACCACCAACTCAGTGCCCAGTGGCCACTCTGAGTCAAGTCTTCGCTTGTACCCGAACCTATATGCATATGGTGGCTGCCAGGTGGGCCCTGGCTGTCGCCAGAACCAAGCAGAGTCACATAAGCAAAGATGTACAAAAGGGCATGAACGGCAAGGCGAAGGGGGACCTAACAAATTACTCAGCAACCAAATTATTCCGGTATTCCTCTCTACCGCTCTTCCTCCTCTACTAGTACTCTTGCATTGTACCCAGATCCTTTGTTCTTGTGTCTTCTAGGACCTTCTAGTATCTTCCTCCTATGATAGACGCCCCTTGCTTACTGCCTATCCTGAACTCTTTTCCTCTCAGGATGTATCGGTTCAAGTTCAAGTGATCAGTGCTTGCTTTTGCTTGTTAATGGTGGTGGCTAACATTTTGACAAGGCACTGAAGGTTCGTCTCTCATCGCCTCTCCATCCTGCTTCCACTTCATTTCTTCTGGTTTCCCGTATTCGAGAAATAATGGCTTGCTACCCATTTCTGCAGCAAGCAAATATGTAATGCTTTTGCGCCAACGTATTGTTCAGGTTCAGACTTCAGACAGAAAGAATTTCTCAAAAGCTGAATCTGTTCTGTTCCACGGGAAGAAACTGGTACTATTCTTGCCTACACTGTTTTCCCATTTTCCCATGTCATCTGGGAGTAGCATGTTACTACCTTTTTTTTGGCAGCTTACAAGATTTCTTTTCCTCCTGACATCGGAGTGGCAGATACAGATTGTGCACTGATTCACCCTTCTGTCTTATATCTTATTATTCATCTTCTTTCTCCAACAAGTCACTTATTCAACTACTCTAAAAGTATCCACAGATCTCAACAATTTTCAGCAAGCCTTAAGGTATATTAGCAGATCTGACCACGAAGGACTAGCTCTACTTTCATTACATCTTGCAAATTTGTTACTACTTATTGTTCCATAAAAAAAACCATAGATTCAATATACAAGAAACTGGTACTTATGAGTTATGACTCAACGTTGACTTTTTCAGCAAACCTCAAAGTATTTCAAATAGTTTTAGCAGATCAGACTTCAAAAGGACTAGCTCTCTTTTGCATTACATCTTGCAAACTAGTTACAATTTGTTATTCAGTAAGAGATTTCAATTTGTTATTCAGTAAGAGATTTCAATTTGTTATTCAATAAGAGATTTCTTTTATTCATGCAGATTTGATGCGCAAGGAAGGGTATTGGTACTAAAGAGTGAGCTTTGACATCTGCCAAGATATCTAATTCAATCGCATAAGAAGAGATGGCAGAGATTGCTGTTCTTCTTGTCCTGAAAAAGATTGCCATCGCTCTGGCAGGAGAGACCCTAAGTTTTGCTAAACCTTTGCTTGCAAAGAAATCTGAGTTGGTAGCAGCACTCCCAGATGACATGAAACTGATTAGTAATGAGCTTGAGCTTATTCGGGCATTTCTTAAGGAAATTGGACGTAAGGGTTGGAAAAGTGAAGTAATAGAAACATGGATTGGGCAAGTCCGAAGACTGGCTTATGATATGGAAGACAATGTAGATCATTTTATTTATGTAGTTGGTAAACACAATGAGATAGGATCATGGTGGGATTACATGAAGAAAATAGCCAAGAAACCTCAACGGCTGTTTTCGCTAGATGAAATTGCTGGTGAAATCAAGAGAATAAAGCAAGAGCTTAAACAACTCTCTGAAAGTAGAGACCGCTGGACTAAACCCTTAGATGGTGGGACTGATATACCTGCAGGAAGCTATAAAACTGAAAAGGAAATATATCTTCCTGGACATGATTACTCAATCAGTGACGAAGAGCTTGTGGGAATTGATAAAAATAAGCAAACCTTGATTAGTTCATTAACATTTGAAGATCCATCACTTCGGATCATTGCTGTCTGGGGTATGGGTGGCATTGGGAAAAGCACTCTTGTCAATAATGTGTACAAAAATGAAGGATCCAACTTTGACTGTCGTGCATGGGTTTCTATCTCTCAGTCATATGAACTAGAAGATATATGGAAGAAAATGCTGACAGATCTCGTCGGGAAAGAATTTGATCCTGGAACAATGGATAGTGCAGAACTAAGAGTGAAATTGATAAATTCTCTAGATAAAAAACGGTACTTGATCATACTGGATGATGTCTGGATGGCTGATGTTCTTTTTAGAATTAAAGAGGTTCTTGTAGATAATGGCCTTGGAAGCAGAGTAATAATCACAACAAGAATTGAGGAGGTAGCTTCAATAGCTGAGGATAGTTGTAAGATCAAAGTAGAACCTCTTGGTGTCCATGATTCCTGGCATGTATTTTGTAGGAAGGCATTTCCGAAAGTTGAAAATCATATCTGCCCTCCAGAGTTACATCAGTGTGGTATAAACATTGTGGAGAAATGTGATGGTTTACCATTAGCCCTTGTGGCAATAGGAAGCATATTGTCGCTGAGACCGAAGAATGTTAATGAGTGGAAGCTATTTTATGATCAACTAATTTGGGAGCTACACAACAATAAGAATCTTAATCACGTGGAGAAAATCATAAATCTAAGCTATAAATACCTACCGGACTATTTGAAGAACTGCTTCCTGTATTGTGCTATGTTTCCAGAAGACTATCTAATACACAGAAAGAGATTGATTAGATTGTGGATAGCTGAAGGATTTATTGAACAAAAAGGGACATGCAGCTTAGAAGACATTGCTGAAAGTTATCTTAGAGAACTTGTACGACGGAGCATGCTTCACGTTGCACAGAGAAACAGCTTTGGTAGGATTAAATGTATTCAAATGCATGATCTTGTGCGTGAACTAGCCATTTTCCAGTCTAAAAGAGAGGGTTTCAGTACAACTTATGATGGAAATAATGAAGCAATGCTAGTGGGATCAGATTCTCGACGAGTGGCTGTGCTCCAATGCAACAAGGGCATTCCGTCAAACATTGATGCATCCAGGCTTCGCACCTTCATAACGTTTGACACCAGCAGGGAATTATCTTCGTGGTATTCTTCCAAACCGAAGTACCTTGCGGTATTAGACTTATCAGGCTTGCCTATTGAGACTGTTCCAAGTTCAATTGGGGAGCTATTCAACCTTAGGCTTTTGTGCCTCGATGACACCAAAGTGAAAGAACTCCCTAAATCTATTACAAAACTTCAAAACCTACAAACATTGAGTCTTGAGAATGCAGAGTTAGTGAAGTTGCCAGAAGGGTTTTCAAAACTGAAGAAATTGCGACATCTTCTGGTTTCAAGGTTGCAAGATGTAACTTACAACAGTTTCAAAAGTTGGGAAGCTGTGGAGCCATTTAAGGGCTTGTGGAGTTTGATTGAACTGCAAACTCTGTATGCCATTAAAGCAAGTGAAGTATTTGTTGCAAAACTTGGAAATTTATCCCAGCTGAGAAGCCTTATAATTTGTGATGTAAGGAGTAGCTACTGTGCACAATTGTGTGGCTCTTTGTCAAAGATGTGCCAGCTGTCACGATTAACGATAAGAGCATGTGACGAAGATGAACTGCTACAGCTGGATGATTTAACATTTCCAAATCCTCTTCAAATCCTTAGTTTAAACGGACGACTGTCAGAAGGAACTTTCACATCTCCCTTTTTCTTAAATCATGGAAATATGCTTCTTAGGCTCATGCTATTTTACAGTCACCTTTCAGAAAATCCAGTACCTCTCTGAATTGTCAAACTTGACTAGTTTACTTCTTGATAAAGCATACACCGGCCAAGAATTATACCTCCATGCAGACTGGTTCCTGAATTTAAAGCATCTTTACTTGAAGAATTTGCCCCGTCTCAATCAAATATGCATACAGAAAGGAGCTTTGGCCAGCCTTGAACATCTAGCAATGATTGGCCTCCCGGAGCTACGGGAAGTTCCAGTTGGTTTCAGATATCTCAAGTCCCTAAATAGAGTAAATTTTTTGTGTATGCATCCTGATTTTGCAAGCAGCATTCGCCCATACATATACGGGACAACGGCATAAGGCAAGTGAAAGCTTCTCAACCTACAGATTTTTTTTCTCGAACATTCTCAACCTACAGATTAATCTTTTTCATGTCTTTTCTAAGGTCTGTAAGCTTTATTATTTGGCGTCAGATGGCTTTTAACACCACTTAATTTTTTAATTTGGATGTTTTCTTGTGTAGAGGTACAAGTGTAAAGTCTCGTTGCAATTAATGAAGATTCCCCTCACTAACTCCCTCCAGTCACAAAAATATGTTTCCGATAAGATTTGGTCAAACCTTAAAAGCTACAAACATCGATAACTTTTAAGTCTTTGTTTGGCGACATGTATGATATATGTGCAGATTTGTGACTAATGGTTTATGCAACTGTGTAACTAAAATGTGGCTTTGTTAGCAACTTAGATCCTAGAGGGCTGAACATCTAGGTCTTTGTTAGAGATGCTTATATCTGCCTGCCATAATGACCGGTTTGTGGAGTGGCCACTTAGGATATACTGTGCAACCACAAGACTATAGATCTGGTCTTGAGCCTAGACTAATTACTTGAGTTTCTCTAGTTTGATAGCAGCTTACAAGACGCTAGAGGGGGGGTTTAGGTTTTAGAATGGTGCTTAACCTGCCTTTAGTTGACGTGGTATCATGCGCCTAGATTGAAACATTACAGGTTGCATCTTATTAAATATTTCCTACAAAGTTCTCATAGTGAAACCCAACCACACATCTTGGAAAGTGTGATATGGGAGTAATTAACCCTCACAAATAGGAATCACAACTTGTGGGTAATGTGCATAATACTTGACATGAAAAAGTCATGCCCGTAGGTGCAACCGTGCAAGACAATGTAATAAAGAAAAAAAAAAGCTTTTGTATGCATAGTCATCTGAAGTACAATATCCAAGTCAAATTATCATCATAATTCAGTATTATTAACACATAATTGCAGATCGACTCTGAAAAAGGAGAATAGTTGCAGATCGACTCTGAAAAATGGTTAGGATATTGCAGGTTGGAAATATGATTGATAAAGTATAAGCAAATTGGTCACTAATCACTAGGCAAAAATCACTGACTCAGTAACATATCAAAGCATTGACATTTTTTTATTACCTTTTGCAGTATGATTTGTTTGTGGGTCTACGGGTATGTTATGGCGGCCACCAATTGGCAGGAATGCATTGGCGAATGGACCATGTTGGGTGTATTGGGCATTACTGTGGAGGGGAAATGCAGCACTAGAACTAGAAGCTGTTTGCATTGAATTGAAGGGCATGGCATGTCATCGAGGTATAGGCAAAACCGGGTCTAACTTTGAGCAGAAAGCAGCACAGGCACCAAGAAAGAGGAACCGCAGGCGCCAGGCAACATAAGGCAGACCCGGTTAAGATGAAATAGCAGAACTCAACGTTGCTGCAATACACTGAGTGTATGTATTTATCTGTATTCTGTAATAATGTTGTTTCGGTAATTATGCGGAACCATTTCGAACTGAGAATGTTTCAGTCTGTATACGAAGCATTTGGCAATAACATTTCAGAGTATGTATGTACTGAGCATTTCATAACATTTTCAAGTATTCCAGGACAACCTGAGCTGACGACATCGAGAACACAATTTAGGCCACTAAAAACGCATGGAAAAAATAATGGAATTGGAATCCATACCTTTACCAGGCGTGACCAGGCCATTGGCCTCCGTCAGGAGGGGATCCAGCTCCACTCCACAAGTGGCGAGACGATTCCATGACATGGAGCCGCAAAGCTCGCTGCCGATGGATCCGAAGGTGCCTACATGACGACAACCAACACGGACCACGCCGTGGACTCGAATCGATCCGCCGCGGGCGCCCACTTAGCCGGGGCCTTGAACAACGGCGGTATCAATTCCGTCGCCCGCGTGTCCACTGGGGCTGCAAGACGCTGTTACCGAACTGAATGAGGAACTCGAGATCGCTAGTAATCGGTGGAATTGGATAGATAACCGGACAACGGCCGCGGCCGCAGCCGCCTCCGCCACCGCCGGCAAGGTGCGCGGTCGGTTCAGTTCAGGTTCGCGTATCAGTAGTAAAAATGGCAATGGGTAATTGTCCGCTGGGTATGTGTTACCCGTATCCTTACCATGAGAAAATATTTTACACGCTAATTTATTCATACCCATATATGGATAAGAGTTTTTTCCCATACTCTTACCCATGCGGGTAATGGGTAACCCGTGGGGTATCCTTACCCATGATTCTAAGAATATTTGCAAAGAAAAATTACATGTTTTAATATCTAGCTCTCAATTTCAGCCAAAGCGTCACAAATCAATAATAAAATCATCAAACATACAAGCTATATGAACACCTGATCAAATAATCTAAAAGATAAATCCATCATTACTAGATAACAAGTGACCAATTTCACATGTTTCTAGCATATTGAATCGGGTTCAATTTACCCATGGGTTAATGGGTACGGGCAATGCAGTCCCATACCCTTACCCACTTTACCTGCTCGGTAAGGCTTTTTCTCATTATCTTACCCATGGGTAAAAAAAAATAGCCATACCCTTGCCCATCGGGTTTTGGGTAAAAATTGTCATCCCTGATCAGTAATTCGAGTTCTTTTGTCAGCTCGATGGGCCATTCCTCAGAGTCCCTTTTAATTACTTGGCCCACTTTGGCCCATGTACACGAGGATGGGTCTTCCGATCCCGCTTCCCTTCCCCGCTCGCTTCTTCCCTCCCCATGTACACGAGGTCCCTTCTAAGTATCCATCTAATAATTTATTAAGTAGGATTAATTAGACATCATAGTTGGGAAAAGTAAAATTCGCCCTTATTTTAAGAAAAATAATTGAGATTTATATACCGCAGGAAAGAGAAATTCATCCAATGTCTCTTGCTGACGTGTAGAAATGTCGATGCACACATATCCTTTATTAAGGGTAGAAGAAGAATACATTCATGTTGGTGTCAATATCCTTTTCGAGGAACCAAGAGAATCGAATATATATTCCTCACTTCAGTCTCTTAGCCTTTAAGAAATACTCCCTCCGTTCCTAAGTCTCCGTCGCCTTGAGTATAAGCATCATCATCGATTCCCCTCCTTTTTGCAAGGAGAAGAAATGGTCGGCCGGCCGGTTTGCAAGGTGCGAACTTCCAAGCGACTACACGCCAGGCCAGCCGCCCGGTTTCAGTTATTCCCTGTGGTGAGGAAAATGAGTGTGATAAGCCAAGTTTCCCGGCGATTACATAAGAATCTGAAGGTTCGTTCGATTCTCTGATCTGAAGAAAGTAGCAGAGACTGCTGTACTCTGGGAGAAATTATCAAGAGGGTGATTATATTGTTCTGTGCATGGAGAGATGAAGTAGGAGTATATATACACGTACGTACATGGCACAGGAGGTCGGTGCTCGGGGCAGCTCGGCTGGTTTTTTGCTCTAAGGGTCAGCTTGGCTCCTCATGATCTACGGGCAAACATGCCCCTATTAGTGGCATGATCAACATGAGAGAGTGGGTGAAAGTGTAAAACGTACAAATATGTTGTGGATAGATGGTAGGGGGGATAGTATTCCGAAGGCAACTACGGGGAAGGGTAATCTTTTCCACCGTTGATTTCTTATATCAAGATGTGTGTGTGTCATTGTCCCATACTTCCATGTTGGGACAAAAAACTCTATTATACAGTCCCTGAGTTCACTTTGGGTGTGTTTGATTGTCGGATGGATGTTGCTTCGTATATTCTCTGACTGGGGAGACGCAGGTTGTGTGGAACAGTATTTATTTCAGAATGGAAGCAGGTGTTCGGTAAGGTTGCATGAGCGCATGAAAAAAAAACTAGGATGTTGTTTGGTTATATTACCTGCATAAGCGGGTGCAACTTGACTAGCATGTGGGACCACACACCTCATCTTGCACCCAAGGACAAGCTCGAGAAAAGACGAACGATTCGGCCGCCTGAACGGAGCCCTGTATTCGAGCGTATTTTTGTACTGTCTGATTCAGAGAACTACTATAAGAACAATCTGGCATTCAAACTACTTCAAGAATAATCTGGCATTCAATAAGTCGTCTCCGATAGTTTATATGGATCCACAGATGCTGCCTGGGTGGAAACGGGCACCCAAACACGTCCTTTTATTCTTGATGTTGTGCCTCACTTGCAACTTGTAAGGGTAATTCATCCGGGATTTAATTAACAAAAACCTCATGTACAAAATCTGATGTTGCACGACACTGTATTCCATGTATTAAACATACATTTACTTCGGCAGGCCCCTACATGCATTGGATAATTAAAATAAACAATAAAAATAATCGTTGCTTTAAAAATAATGATAATAAGTAAATGCGTCGAGTACACTCATTGACAATTCTCTCCTTAGTTTGCCACTTTGAACCACTTCATAGCTAAGCTCTCCAACAAAACGAATGGAAGAATCGGTGTGATATCCCCAGCAAAGCCGAAGTAATTAGTTTGGATGTCACTGCATAATCGGAGTGAGTTGATGGAGACAATGTGCAAGACAAATAATGCAAGAAACAAGCCAGGCCATGGCCGGATGTTAGTTTGATACGGTGATACCCTGCTTTTATATCATCTATGTATGTCCTATACACATAATGGGGTATAATACTGTACCCATTGTTGATTTGGTAATTACTAACTTGTGTTGCATAACTCCTGTAACTGTAAGTTACCTACACCTGATATATATGCGTGCCCTGCCACTGCCAAACTATCGCAAGAAGACAGGAGATTTGTGACTCCCCTGGCATTAGGGCATAGGGATTTGTGACTGCCAAACTATAGCAAGGCAGGAGATTTGTTAAACTGTTCGCATTAAAGCCGACTGATAAGCTGACAGTAATTTTGTTATGAGAGAAAAATACTGTAGATTCTAATTGATAAGTTGACTGATAAGTTCAAGCGAACAAGCCCTGTCAGCTTTTGAATGGTCTTGAGCTAAGGTTTGAGGGTGTTTGCGCGCGTCTCTTTGTCGCCCCAGTCCCCACCCCACCCCACCCCACACACAGAAGAGAAAGAAAAAGAAAAAAAACAAGAACATAAAGCTAGCTAGATCGTGCCCACATTGATGTCATCACAATCACAACCCACTCAGGTAAGAAAAGAAGCATCCAGCTGCAAGTTAAAACGCGCGCAAGCAAAGCAAAGAAAAAAAGAAAAGAAAGGCAGCGATGGGAAGGAAGAAGATGCTGGTGCCTGGTCCTGGTGGCATCCATCCATTCCAACTTCCTGTACGTACCAATGGCCAATGCAACTAGTGGGAAATAGGCAGCGCGGTCAACTGCCAACCAGAAGAAGCAGGTAGCGTGAGTCTTACCCGCCCAACCACCGAAAGTGCTGCCCACTCCGTTCTTCTCACGCCAACCCCACCTATAAGTCTACGACTGATACTGAGCTCCCCGCTTCCTCCAACTGACAAGCTAAGCAATCGCCTCCCTCCCTCCTGCACACCAATTACACGCACGCTCTCCCAGTCCCGGATCAGTTCCAGACATCGATGTCTTGTTTCGGAGCCATGCCGCCGCCGACGACGGGCGGCAGCTACTACTACTCGTCCTCGTCGTCGGGGCGGCCAGGCGGCGGCGGCAGGAGGCCGTGGCGGTGGTGGCGCGCCAAGTGCGTCGGCATCGCCGCGGCCGTCGGGTCCAGGCTCCGGAGGTCGGTCATCGGGGGCGTCGACGTCCGCCGCCGTCGGCGCACGGCGTCCTCCGTGCACTACTCGCAGAACGGGTGGTGCCACCACCACCACCACCGGAGCTTCGGGCCGGTCTACGTCGACGACCTCTACAGCCACCACCACCTGCAGCAGCCAGCAGCCAAGGCCCTCCGCGGCGTCGTGCAGCGGGAGCATCAGCAGCATGAGCCGAGCACCCGCGCCCGCGACAAGCTGCCGACGCCGGCGGCTGCAGCACCCGCGCCCGCCCCCGCCCCCGCCGCCGGTGCCGCGGGCAGCAAGGCCACCACTGCCAGCGCAGGCGCCGGGAGCGGCAAGCAGCAGCAGGCGCGCGCCGTGGCGGCGGGCGTCGGCGCGATGAGGAATGTGCTGCTGCGGAGCCCCGGCAGAGGCGGTGGCGGGGGCGTGCTCGGGGTGGTGAAGGGGATGGGGGAGGTGGACCTCAGGGCCGAGCTTTTCATCCGCAAGTTCAGGGAGGACATGCGGCTGCAGAGCCAACGCTCGGCGGAGGAGTTCCAGGCCATGCTCGCAAGAGGCCTATGACATGAACATGACGACATCCTTCTTAATTATCTACTAGCATAGCATAGCGTAGCTTAGGGGATTGGTTGAAGGTTTAAGCTAGTTTGGATTTGTGATTTGGTAAAAAAGAAGATGATTTGGTTGAGAGGTGTGCTAATATAAGCTATTAAACTCTTAGCTGTGGCTTTGGTTGAGAGTTTGGTTTTCTTCGTGTTCTAGATGTAGAGACAGGATTGCTCCATTCATTGGTGGCGTCTCGCTTGTGTAATAATAAGTGTACATAGTTTGATGAAGAGACAAAAGATGTAAATATATATGTATCCATGTCCACAGGTTGATCTGGATGCACCTGAACCGCGTGATAAAATATAGAATTGTTCGGGCTTTGGTTGACCCTGGTGCCTCACCAGTTATCCAAGATTCGAGCGAACTGGTGACCAACAAAACAACAAAGCATACAGCTCACCCAAAAAGAAAAGAAATAAGAAACCACACAAACTCATGCACACGTACTCATTCTGCTCTCGTCAACTGTTCCTCACGGACTAAAATTTTGGCAGCTCACAAATAGGGATGCCATTCGTTTTGCACGTCAATCGTCATAAATACCAAAACTATGGAAGCAAGGATTCTGATTATCAGAAATTATGGCATTTATACATTTTCAACACGCAGCTTGTAAAAAGTGTAGCCAGGTTTTACATTCTACTAGATCACAGCACCACACTGGTTTGGACAAGCATAGCCATCTTACAGTTACACAACATCGCTGCAAGGCAGGGTGCTACCAATGTACAGCACGAACATTTTACCACACTTCACTTGAGAAAATCTCTCATAGGATCGTCGTGGTGAATCTTCGTCATACGGTAGGCCTCCATGTCTTCTACAGTAACCTGATCGTCAAAGTGCACGTTATACTTCCTCTTCTTCTCATCCCTCTCCTCCTCTTTCCCCCTTACCCTTGCTTTCTCCTACAGGATTAAAACCAAGCTTCAGCGTATACAATAGGGGGAAATTATATGAACAAAAAAATACCAAAGGTCAAATACAAGACACTGACCTTCTTTAGAGATTCTGCAAGCTTCTTCGGATCAAGAACAAGATCCTGAGGCACATCAGTTCCCCAAGTGGCTAATCGCTTTTCTTCATGTTGTACAGGTACATCTGCATTGAACAATTTTAAAGTTAATGCAAAACACAACGGTGGTCGCGCATGGGTAATTAAATCGAGTGGTGAGCCATCTCATTTAAACAAGTTTATTCATAAACAAAAAACAAATTGCACCTAGCTATATTTGCATCTTATTGTCTGCTTCAACTTATATCTTGAAAGAAGCCAGCATGAAAGTATGAAACTAACAAGATCTGAGACCTCAGTACCTCACACTAACTTTAACAATACACTGTTCACATAATTAGGAGAATAGTTAACTGGTTGCAAATAAAACTGGCACTTAGGTGTGATGTCATGCTTGATAAAAAGCTAGCACCAATTATGATTTTATCAATGGCAGGTGCGAATTTTTGAACAGGTAAAGGTTTACTCAATGGCATCAATTATCCTACACACAATGCAAGTTGTCCAGATATAAATAAATAAATAAATAGAAATATTTTCTCGACAAAATACCTTCTGCGGCCTCCTTGCGGGCCATATTGGCCTTCATTAGATCTGCTGATGCCTCAGCAGCTTCTATTCCAGCCAAGCCTGTGCAGTAACTATTCTTGATAGTCTGCTTGCAGCATTTGTAGCCCCATTGATGATCTTTCCACCATGAACCCCACACAGTCGTGTGATTATTAATGAATACATCCTCTTCGTATTTGCTCTTGGGAAGAGATACATCCTGTAGATATAAATTAAGGTTACTCGTTAGCATTTAGCACTCATGACCATACCAAACATGGAAATAATGCCAACAGTCCAATAATTAGACTGAATTGGTGGCATTCCAGTCTAAAGCCACAGACTAACCATTCATTCAAAGTGAAAGAGGATACGATTCTTAGTATTTTTTAATTGCATGCAAACATAAAGTTAACTCACGATTGCATGCGCTCCTAGTGTGTGGTAACTAGGAAAACATGAGCTGAACCATGATCTAGGATAACGTTCTCCTTTTACTATTGTTGGTACTATTAATAACCTTTTACTTCAATATATAATCTTTCTTTATGGTCCTTGTTGGGTTTGATCTCTAGCCTATCCCAACATACTTGAAACAAGGCAAAAAAAAATCAACCAATATTATGACTAGCCCCTATAGCACAGTCCTAGTTCCAAGTTCAATTGCAAGAACTTCACAAAATGCACATGTGTTTGTGGAGGCTAGAGTAGGCCATACTTTTATTGATTCACATTATTAAGATTGGACACAAGATTTCAGATTCTTTTCATCGTATCTAATGGCCACAATGCCTCTGTGAATATGATTCCTTCTAAAGAAGCGAAGCTTATCGTCATCTCTAATGTTATAATATGCAGACCCAATTAGCTAGAAAGCCCTACCAGACACAAAATATATAGAATCTGACAAGAAGAAGAAGCAGGAACAGTTATAAGAACAAGAGACCAGAAAGTTGACAGGCATAATTAACAACACTCAGTATTTTTACCAACCTGTCCTTTGATTATTCGACCAGTACGGTCATACTCAATCTCTCTCTCACTTTGCCCAAGAAGCAGCTCCCGAGGAATTGTATCTTCTGACGCAGCATTCCCATACTTCTCCATAATTTTATCCTTATGTTCAGACTTCAACATTTCTTTCTTGATCTTGAAACTCTTGTACAGAAGTTCTGCTTGAGATGGGGCTGCTTGCATATGGATATCCTGACCCTTTTCAAAAGCTTCCCATGAATGGATATTGAGTTGCTTGAACTCCAGAGCTTGACCACTAAGACGATTTTGGTTGTCACCCTGCACCATAATATCACATCAGATAACAGAACCCAAGAGCCTAGAGAACAGAGGGTTTTCGCATTTAAAATTGTGTATAAAGCATTAAAGTCATATGTCGTCAGTTACTTACCACATAGAACTTATCATTTGGATCAGCATCTGGCAAGGGGTCTTCCCTCATGGAGCGGGTTTTTGGATCATAATATGCAGAGTTGACATCAAGATTCAAAAGATATTTTGCCGTGTCTTCTCTGATACGCAAGTTCCTGTGGAGACAAAAAGTTACCATCAGCGTTTAAATTGGTTGCTGATAAATCCTTGACGCAGGAACCCCAGTACTAGAAGGAACATGATCTATTTTCTGAGTAGTAGTGCAGTACATACCTAACAGTACCGGTGCTTCCACCACCGGTTGTGCGCACACGCTTCTCTACCTTAGCAAAGTCCATCTGGGCACTCTCATCAACTTTGGCCTCATCTATCCTTAGGCCATCTTCTTCATCATCTTCACTACCCGCATTCTCATCATCGTTCTCAGTATCCTTCTCCTCAAGTTTCTTGAGCTGCTGCTCTTTCAGATACTTTTTCCTAGCCTCTTCTCTAGCTTCATAGTCAGCGATTACACGAGTGTAGGTTGATGGGTCATAACCATTCCAGCGATCACGCTTTCCATCATAGTCCAGTTCAAATGATTCAACTTTCTCATCAGGTGCTATGTTGACATTTGTCCATTTAGCTCCCACACTTCGAGGCCGCTCCATGCAAGACTTCTTGTCATGAGTCATGGCTCCACAGCTAAAACATCAAGGAAAACCGTTTGTTAGCAAATCTACACTGGCAGTCTATTTATTCATGCATATTGGCTACTAAATGGACTGCAAACTCTAAAACTTAGACCCCAACTCTAGAACCAACAAGACGATGCCATACTAATAACAAGCAATATGTACATGTTGAGCAAGGCCTCATCAAAAGAAATATGGTGAAACAAACACCACTTACTTTTCGCAAGCGCCTTTCCTGTACTTGTTGGCCTGGAAAAGCTTTGCACCCCTATCATACCACGACTTGGTGTAGTTCGGATCTGACTTCCACTTCCGTTGATGCTTCAAACTCTGAATTCATAAAACCAACAAGGAGTCAGCCCTCTAATCACCCAGATCCTCATTCACAGCTTTAGGCAACAACAAGCTAAATAGTGGAAGCAATGACTTACCGGCTTCTCAGCATTAAGATACCATGGGGCTGAGGACATGTACTGGGGGATATGGGGATTGATCTCGTTTCCATCCTCGTCGACCTCCGCAGGCGCGAGCCCCGCCTTGCGCGCCTCCTCGAGCTCGAGCTGCTTCCGGTGATCCTCCCGTGACTTGAAAGTCACTGCCGCAAACGATACAAGACATCATAAGTCGCTAATTCATAACAGCGCAGTAAAAATCCCCAAAAATTCGCGGGTCACAAGCACCCACAGAAGCGTCGATCCTCAAATTAGGAGGAACACGAGGTACACCGCCTCCGAACAAACCCTAATTCACGTCGAATCGGGGAGAAACAAACCGGGTATGGAGATAACCGCCCAGGGCAACGGTCGATTCACGCGGTTTTGGGAGGATCGAATCGAACCCACGGAAAACTAGGGTTAGGGTTACGTGATGCTCTACTCACCTGAAGCGGTCGCCATGGCGTCCTCCCCTCTTCCCCCCGCTCTCCTTCCCTTCGCCTCGCCGGCTCGACTCGGGGGCGGCGCGGCGGTTCGACGGCGAACGGCGGCGAAATAACGAAACGAGGAAGATAAGAGCGAAACGAATTAACCTAGAGGGCTCCTCGACAGAACACCACTCCATGTCCCTCTGAATTCTCACCACCGTGAGATCTTAAGTTCGACGATCCAGATCTCTTAGAGCGGATTCTGCCGAGAGCGGCTTCCCGGTCTACTCCTTCACTTTCATGGGTTCTCTTCTGCTTATCTTTCGCTTCAGCAGCTTCTCGTCCGAATCCGATCAGACAAATATATACAATGGCTTCTGCTTCTCCTTTCCCAAACTTCTGCTTCCCGACCCTTCTCCTCTTCACTCCATCTCTCTCTCTCCCCGACGCGCGGTGGCGACGCCGCCCTTGCCATGCAGCGCCGCTCACCCCCACGGCGGCCGTCCCCGGCCGCGGAGCAGCACGACCAGGCCCAGCCTGTGGCCGCCGGCGCGGCTTCCCCACCGCGCTGCCTTCTCCAGCTGATCCGCGTGGGCTTGATGAAACCCTAGTTGCCTCTTCCTCGCTGGTCGCACCGGCGGCTCCGCTTAGCGGCCGCATCTGGCGGTACGCCACCCTCTTCTCTTCCCTCGTCTCATGGCTCCTCTACCCTAGATCGCCTCTCCCTCGCGGACCCCACAACAGACGCGGCCAGCTCCCCACGCCACGGCCGGTTCCTCTGCTTTGAGTGTGCACGGTGGGGCCCCCTCTGCCCTGTTCACTTCTTGCCGTCTCCCAGGTGAAGTGTGCTTGACAACCCCAACTGCGTCGTGAGCCGCTCCCAGCCACGGCGCGATCACGCGGCACAGCCGACCCCACCTGGGCATGCCCTCTTCCCTGCCGCCGCCGCCGGCAGCGGCTCAGCTCAGCGTTCGGATCTCGTGGTACCGAGCAGGTACTATATTCAACAAAAAAAACTTTGCCAATTTAATTAGCTATTTCCACTTAGGTTACTAACTATAGGACTATTGTCTTTGTTCAGGCCTCAATTACTTTGTACTGTTCATACCTCAATTATTTTTGCATTGTTCAGGGCTCAATTGCTTTTCGCGCTGACATAGATTAATGGATCAAAAAATGCCTTTTACATACCAGTGAGTTTAGTTGTGTCATTATCTCATTCTTAAATTTGCTTCTTATTTATTCATGAAAGCTATCATGTATCAAACCATTCTGAACTTCACTGTGACGATGTCCGTTTTTTCTCAGCCCATGCTTAAATACACCAGAGTTCAGGTTCGACTGCAGGCTTATACAGAGTGAGTACACATCTTCTTCGACTACATTTTAATTCGTGCTTGCTGAATTCTTACATGTAGTTTTCATTTCTTATAGTAAGATGAAAACTGAGGTGTCTGATTTATATTATTTTTCAAGCAAGAAACACATGTTAGGACTCAGGCCTACTGAAATATGTAACTTATCACCTACTTGTACTTGCATCTAATAATTTCCTAAATATTTGGACTTTAGGTTCCATTGCGTATGCTATAGACGCTTGTATCATGACAGGAGTGTGGACAACGCAGAGAAGTACAAGGTGGCAAAGAAGACTGCAAAGCGAGTTGTAAGTGTGGCAAAGGGTAGAGCGTACGAAGATCTTTACCAACATTTGAATACAAAAGAAGGAGAGAAGGACATTTATAGGATGCCTAAGGTTTGTGAGAGAAAGACAAGGGATTTCAATCAAGTTAAGTGCATTAAGGATGAAAGGGAGCATCTCTTGGTGAAGGAGGATGAGATCCGACATCGATGGCAAGAGTATTTTGACAAATTGTTTAATGGTGAGAATACGGACACAGCCTTTCAGTTGGATGACTCTTTTGATGACACCAATAGGCGCTTTGTGCGGAGAATCCAAGAATCTGAGGTCAAAGAGGCGTTGAAAAGGATGAAAGAAAGTAAGGCGATGTGGACCGAATGGTATCCTAATTGAGGTGTAGAGATGCCTTGGGGATATAGCTATAGTATAGCTAACCAAACTATTCAACCATATTTTTCGATCGAACAAGATGGTGACGAGTGGAGGAGAAGTATATTGGTATCGATCTACAAGAATAAAGGGGATATTCAAAGTTGTACTAATTACCGGGGAATTAAGTTGATGAGCCATACTATGAAGCTATGTGAGAGAGTTATCGAGCATCGCTTAAGAGCAATAACGCGGGTCTCTATGAACTAATTTGGTTTCATGCTCGAAAGGTCAACCATAAAAGCCATTTTCTTAATAAGACAAAGTTATGGAGCGGTATAGAAGAAGAAGAAGGACATACACATGGTTTTTATTGACTTGAAAAGGCTTATGATAAAATACCAAGAAATGTTATGTGGTGGGCTTTGGACAAACATAAAGTCCCAATAAAGTACGTCGGGCTCATTAAGGACATGTACAACAATGTTGTGACTAGTGTTCGAACAAGTGATGAAGACACGGATAACTTCTTGATTAAGATATGACTACATCAAGGGTCAGCTTTGAGCCCTTATCTGTTTGCCTTAGTGATGGATGAGGTCACAAGGAACATACAAGGGGACATCCCTTGGTGTATGCTTTTTTCGTGACCGATGTAGTGCTAGTTGATGAAAGCCGAACAGGAGTGAATCAGAAACTGGAGTTATGGCGGGAGACTTTGGAGTCCAAAGGTTTTAGACTCAGTAGAACTAAAACTGAGTATATGAGATGTGACTTCGACACTACTACTCGGGAGGAGAAAGATATTAGTTTGGAAGGTCAAGTAGTGCCTAGGAAGGATACCTTTTGATATTTAGGATTAATGCTATGCTACAGAGAGACGGGGATATTGATGAAGATGTTAGCCATAGAATCAAAGTAAGGTAGATGAAGTGGCGTCAAGCATCTAGCGTCCTACCACAGAAGCTAAAAGGCAAGTTTTATAGAACGGTGATTAGACCTGCTATGTAGTATGGTGCAGAATGTTGGCCTATGAAAAGACGACATGTTTAACAGATAAGTGTCACGGAAATGCGTATATTGCATTGGATATGCGGTCATACAAGAAGAGATCGAGTTCAAACGATGATATACGTGATAGATTAGGGGTAGCACCAATTGAAGAAAAGTTTATCCAACACCGGTTGAGATGGTTTGGACATGTCCAACAAAGACCTTCAGAGGCACCAATGCGTAGTGGAATCCTAAGCCAGGATAGTAACGTGAAGAGAGATAGATGAAGACCGAAGTTGATTTGGGTAGAGACAATAAAAGAAGACTTGAAAGGATGGAATATACCCAAAGGCTTAACCTTAGATAGGAGTGCTTGGAAAATAGCTATTCACGTGCCTAAACCTTGATTGCTTCTGCTGGGTTTTAACTCTTGCCTACCCCAATTTGTTTAGGACTTAAAGGCTTTGTTGTTGTTGTCATTGTTGTAGGTTCCATTGCGTTTAAGATGACACAAATTACCATGTCACTAATATAGCTTTGCTAAAAGAGAAATCTGAGCCCCTAAAAGTGTTAGAACACCACTCTAGGGTGAAGGAGTAGACCCATAGGGCTCCTCAATAGAACACCACTCCACATCGCCCTAAATTCTCACCACCATCAGATCTTTAGTTCGACAACCCAGATCTCTTAGAGCAGATTCTATCGAGAGCAGCTTCCCGGTCTACTCCTTCACTTCGTGGATTCTCTTCTGCTTATCTTTCGCTTCAGCAGCTTCTCATCCGAATCCGATCAGACAAATATATACAACGGCTTCTGCTTCTCCTTCCCCAAACTTCTGCTTTCTGACCCTTCTCCTCTTCGCTCGATCTCTCTCTCCCCCCGATGCGCAGTGGCGATGCCGCCTCGCCCCCACGGCGGCCATCCCCGGTCGTGGAGCAGCGCGACCGGGCCCAGCCTGTGGTCGCCACCGTGGCTTCCCCTCGACGCTGCCTTCTCCTGCTGATCCACGTGGGCTCAATGAAACCCTAGCTACCTCTTCCTCACTGGTCACGCCGGCGGCTCCGCTCAGCGGCCGCATCTGGTGGTACACCACCCTCTTCTCTTCCCTCGTCTCATGGCTCCTCTACCCAAGATCCCCTCTCCCTCGCGGACCCGACGCGGGCTGCCACCAGCGTGCTAGTGACGCCCGCCCCCAGCACTGTTGTGCACCGGCGCGGTGCTCGCCACGGCGCCCACAACAGACGTGGCCAGCTCCCCACGCCACGGTCGGTTCCTCTACTTTGCGTGTGCACGGTGGCGCCCCTCTGCTTCGTTCGCTTCTTGCTGTCTCCCAGGTGAAGTGTGCTTGACGACCCCAGCTACGTCGTGAGCCGCTCCCGGCCATGGCGTGACCACGCGGCACGGCCGACCCCGCCTGGGCATGCCCTCTTCCTCGCCGCCGCCGGCGGCAGTGGCTCAGCTCAGTGTACGGATCTCGTGGTACCGAGCATGTACTATATTCAACAAAAAAAACTTTGCCAATTTAATTAGCTATTTCCACTTAGGTTACTAACTATGGGACTATTGCCTTTGTTCAGGCCTCAATTACTTTGTATTGTTCAGGCCTCAATTATTTTGCATTGTTCAGGCCTCAATTGCTTTTCGCGCTAACATAGATTAATGGATAAAAAATGCCTTTTACATACCAGTGAGTTTAGTTGTGTCATTATCTCATTCTTAAATTTGCTTCTTATTTATTCATGAAAGCTGCCATGTATCAAACCATTCTGAACTTCACTGTGACGATGTCCGTTTTTTCTCAGCCCATGCTTAAATACACCAGAGTTCAGGTTCGACTGTAGGCCTATACAGAGTGAGTACACATCTTCTTTGACTACATTTTAATTCGTGTTTACTGAATTCTTGCATGTAGTTTTCATTTCTTATACTAAGATGAAAACTGAGTTGTCTGATTTATATTATTTTTCAAGCAAGAAACACAGGTTAGGACTCAGGCCTACTTAAATATGCAAGTTATCACCTACTTGCACTTGCATATAATAATTTCCTAAATGTTTGGACTTTAGGTTCCATTGCGTAGACGAAGCATATTTTGTTTAAGATGACACAAATTACCATGTCACTAATATAGCTTGCTGAAAGAGAAATCTGAGCCCCTAAAAGTGTTAGAATGCATTATTTGAACTGCTTACTGTCACATGTCCAGGCCACATAGGGTATTTGTTCCACTTTATTCAGTTACTGTTACAAGCAAACTTAAGCTTTTTGGTTAATTACATGATTACTTTACATCAACTATGATTTTATATTATTCTGTTGGTGCAATCATGAACCTTTAGTTTTATATTCTGCATTTGTGCTAACCATGTCCGTGCCCCCAAGCCACCTTGGCATGGTCAGGCGTCGGCGGCTCGTACCAGCCACGGGCCTAGCAGCGCAGCCTGTTCTCCCCGAGCAACTAGCTTGCAGGTGATGTCCACGATGTGCTTTAGGGTTAGGGTTAAACATTGCTTTTTGTCCGATTTTGTGCTTCCTTAATCGAATCGGCAAACTTGGAGTTTAATTCTGTGAATGTGTACTTAGTTTTGGGTGGAGGTATCTTGATTTGTTCAATTCAGCACATTGATTTCGTGTGTTCTAAACTGCAGTTTTAGAG